AATGATATCCTGGTGTTTAGAAGCAGTTTGGAAGAGCATTTAGAACATCTTCGTCAAGTCCTTCTCCTCTGTCATCAGCATGGGTTGATGATTGGCCTGCCCAAGTGTGAATTTGCTGTGCCTGAGATAGAGTTTTTGGGTCATGTACTTTCTGCTTGAGGTTGCTCTCCCCTGGTCAAGCATACGGCTGCGATCTCTGAGTTTCCTGTTCCTGCTGACAAACCTGCTCTACATGCAGAGGTTCCTGGGCATGGTGAATTTTTACAGGAAGTTTCTCCTTGGAGCTGCCAGGGTACTGGCCCCACTCACAGATGCCTTGAAGGGTTCCAGCAAGTCTCTTACCTGGACTCCTCTCCTCAACACTGCATTCCGTCACGCAAAGAATCTTCTCATCAAGGTTCCAGAACTCGCTCATCCTCGAACATCAGCTCCGATTTCTTTAGCAGTAGACCCCTCTGACTCTCATGTGGGGGCCGTGTTGCAGCAGAGGATTGACGGTGCCTGGGTTTCATTATCCTTTTTCTCAAGGAAGCTTTCGGAGACTGAGAGGAAGTACTCCGCCTTTGACAGAGAACTCCTGGCTGCTTATCTATCTATCAGACACTTCCGTTTCATGCTAGAAGGTAGAGATTTTTTTTTATTCACCAATCACAAACCTCTAACCTCAGCTTTGTTCAGGAGTTCTCCACCCAGGTCTGCTCGTCAACAGAGACACCTGGCTTATATTGCAGAGTTCACGAGTTCCATTGTGCATCTGCCAGGCCTGGAGAATGTTGTAGCTGATGCCCTCTCTCGCCCCAGCCCTTCTCCAGTCCAACCTTCACCAATATTTTCATCTGATGATTCCTCTCTGGCCGATCCTCCTAGTGTTCTCCTTCGCCCTAGACCTGCTCCAGTATCTCCATCACTGCTCCAACCTTCCTTGCCACCTCATGCTCCGGTATCTCCAACACTGCTCCAACCTTCCATGTCATCTCATGCTTTTCCTGATCCTTCCCCTCCTCGAGGTCCTGCTTCTGAGGTGTCAGCAGTGTTGGTGGTGTCGGAGGTGTCGGCAGTGTTGGCGGTGTCGGCGGTGTCAGATCCTCTACCATCTTCACCTTCTATCAATCAATCAACCAGTCAAGATTTTTCAGTTCCAGGTTTTGATTTTTCTCAAATATTGTCTCTACAGAAAACCTGTCCTTCAATCCAGACCATGAAGAGTTTACCCTCGCTCTCTAAAGTGAATGTGACTCTGCATTCCGGAGATTTAATTTGTGATAACTCTACAGGGAGCCTCAGACCTTTAGTGCCAGAGGTTCTCCACAAGCCTCTGTTCCTTGCTCTTCACAACGTCTCTCATCCTGGAGTCAGAGGTTCACGGAGGTTGGTCTCCGCTTGTTTTGTTTGGCCTGGATTGTCTCAAAGTGTCGGATTGTGGGCCAGGTCCTGTCTCCAGTGTCAACAGAGCAAGATTCAGACTCATGTGAAGACATCTGTACTTGCTATCCCTGTTCCTTCAAGACGGTTTTCTCACGTACACATCGACATCGTTGGTCGTCTACCCTCTAGTCAAGGTTATTCCTATTTACTGACAATAATTGACAGAACTACTCGCTGGCCAGAAGCAGTTCCTTTATCTTCCGTCTCTACTGAGTCCTGTGTGAGAGCTTTTATCTCAACCTGGGTTTCCAGATTCGGAGTTCCGTCAACATTAACTTCCGACAGAGGTGCTCAGTTCACATCATCCGTCTGGGCCGGAGTCTGTTGAGTCCTGGGTATTTCATCTTCTCAAACAACAAGTTTTCATCCACAGTCAAATGGCATGATTGAGCATTTTCATAGATCCCTCAATTCTTCTCTCCGAGCCAGAGCTGCCGACTCTGACTGGGTCTCTCACTTACCTCTGGTTTTGTTGGGCCTTCGTTCAGTTCCCAAGGAAGACACTGGTTTCTCCGTCTCAGAGGCAGTGTATTGTTCTCCTCTGACAATCCCTAGAAATTTTAGATGCTCCTGAATTGCCAAGTTCTCAGTTCCTCAGCAAGATAGAGAGAGTCATCGCTGGACTTTCAACTCCTCCGCCCCATCATGTTCAACATTCACCTCCAGCTGAAATTCCTGCGACTCTCAGGACTGCAAAATTCGTGTTTGTTAGAGAAGATGCCAGTTAACCTTCACTTGGTCCTCTATATCGGGGCCCTTACCTTGTTATGGAGCAGCGGAGTAAATTCTTCCGCCTGCAGATTGGTACCAAGATAGATGCTGTTTCCTTAGACTGACTAAAACCTGTATTCTCAGACTTTCCAGTGGTTCCTGCAGCACCTCCCCCTTGAGGACGTCCTCCTCTCTGCCCAGCAAAGCATCCTCCTGATCTTTCCTCCGCTGTGAAGCCATCCGCCTCCAAGAAGAAGTCTGTGATGTTCCTCACCAAACCTGAGATTATACCAAGACGGAACCCACAGACATGCCAGGGTAAGAAGTTCCTGCTCCGCCTTGTCTCCGCCGTTCCTTCTTGGGGGGAGTACTGTGGCAGCGGCGTGGCAGAAGACGAGCTGAAGAGTCTGGCGTCGGATATTGAGATGTGGCAAGAGGGGGGGTATTTTTCCTGCCACGTCATCATCTATATTGAATGTTTTAGTTTAATAATAAGTTATTTATTTAGTAATAAAGTATTTATCTTAAACCGAGGAAGTTATTCTGATCGAATCTAAAATGGCTGGAATATTCTTGGATTATAGTTAATCAGATAAAAGTTGGATATTTGAATAGTTTGGATAGTTTGACAAATTGTTATTCAGTGAATCTATCATCTTTTTATTTTTCAACTTTTAGCCTCCTCATAAAAATATTTATCAACTAGTATTCTATTAAAAATATGCATCTGTTAAAGGGCCTGTAAGTGAAATATCAAGTCACTTTTCATGCTCTGATGGGAGTTTACAACGGTAACCTTAAAACCTTTATGACTTCTCAATGATGAGGGAAGATTATTTATCTAACCCAAATAGATTATCAACGACTTAAAAAGTGTCAAATGTAACAAGGAAGACGACAGTTTACCTTTCATTTATAAATGCCAAATATATATATATATATATATTTGGTATATATATATGGTGCTGAGAGCCATAGTTTGCATCAGTCCAACTATATCGCAGCAGATAATACATCATCATCATCATCTCTGGCACTTGACATCTGATTTCATAATTCTCGAAAGCTAATCCATCAGGTCTCAACAATACTATCTCCGATTGTTTCTTCCCTACGATGCAGTCCAACAACATCATCTTAATCACCTCATTGGGGATCATATCACACTCGTTTCTTGATAAATGTTTCTCTAACTCGTTACACCAGTCAAATGCCTTGCCTGTGTGCCTGTCGTAAGGTGGAGCAAAACAACTGAAATCTCTCAACTTCTTCTTGTATGCAGCCTCTGCCTTACTCAACTCTGAGAACATATTCAGGGTAGCTCTCCCAGCTGCCCTCTCCTCTTTCAGCAGACCTATATTACTCTACTGATTGGATCCTGTGTGTTCGGTGTAGCCGTCTCAGACCATGTATTAACAAATGCCTGACTTGTATCCTTCTTCTTTATATCCGCTATTGCCTTGTCCGTCTGGAGTTGTTGTAACTGTCCCATCATCACAGCCACATTGTCCGTCGGAGGGTTTGCCTGTCCTTCTGTCTCCATCTCCGACTCTGAGTCGTCACTGGGTAAACTCGGATATCCTTGAAACGCTGCCACTGTATTTCCTGTAGCCAACCGTCTCTTCACTCTCAGACAAATGTTCCTATGCTAACATTTCCCTCGCTAACCCATTAAACCAGGTTTTCACTTTACTCTTTTTCTGGAATACTTTTGGAGTCTCGGGCATCTAGATCTGGGTCATAGGGTATCCCACCGCTGCCACCAGAAAATGTAAAGATCTAGGTCCTGAACACTTAGTCAACACTTGACTCTAACTCTAAATTCTAAGCCAATTCTAGCCAAATACCGGCTGTATATGTTCATCTAAAAAAACGATTGATTTGATACTCCTTTATTTATACAGGTAAACATAGGTTGACCGTTTGGGCCGGTCAGGGTCAAATAAAACGTAGATAATACAGATGAGTAAACTATACACAACCCCAGAATTTATTACAACTATAATAAAATAATAATAATAAAAATTTTTTAATTGCCAATTATGAAAATTTTAAGCCTAACAAGTTGTTTTGTTATGAATGTTTAAGCCACTGTGGAGTAACCATCCCTCCTCAGCAGGGAGGGGGATGGTTACATACCCCATTGGTTTTAATTCTGGTTGTATATGGCAAACCAGACTTAAAACCATATAATACAATATATTATTGATGTAAAACTTGAATCGTACTAGAATATTGGCGTACCAAAACAAAATGCATTTACTTAAGCAATATTGATTAAATTACAGATGTCACCATGTTTTACTTGAAAGGATACACCCCAAAGGGGGGTAACAATACTCTAGACGAATATAGTCTTACACCAATAAAAGACAAAGTTGTTGAACATTTCTATTAAAAGTATAATAGGAAATAGGTTAAAAAGTAATATAAAACTATAAAACAATTAACTAAATTAGCGACGTAGATATACTGCTACTACAGTTTCAATTTGCGATGTAGATATACTGCTACCACAGTTTCAATTTGCGATGTAGATATACTGCTACCACAGTTTCAATTTGCGATGTAGATATACTGCTACCACAGTTTCAATTTGCGATGTAGATATACTGCTACCACAGTTTCAATTTGCGATGTAGATATACTGCTACCACAGTTTCAATTAGCGACTTGGATATCAAAATCAAATATCAAATCAAATCAAATATATATATTTGCCTCAAGTTAAAAATATAGAAAATATCATATTTTAAAACATATTTATTGATAGCCAGGGGCTGTTTAACACGCAGCCTCCCACTGGAGAGTCAATTTTGATGCTGACTTGAAGAGGTGCTGCTGAATGTCATGCTGCTCATGGGATGGAGGGAGCAGGAGCTACTGGAGAGGATACAGTTCATAAACGTACAGGAATCCGTCAAGGAGAGGTTGGGTACCTTCATTCTCGGGGTGGAACACATAAAAATAAATGAGAGTTAAAGGGAGGAGCCAGAATTACAAAATAGTTTTTCACATTGAAAATCTTTAAGATTATAGATAAGTTTGGCTTTTAACGATTGTTTAAAAATGGATTTTTGAGCTCAGACGAAAGAAAATTCCAAGCAGTGGGAAATAAGTAAAAAGGAAATCGTCTAAGAAATTCTTTTCTTATATCTGTAAAAAAATAACTGTTCATGTGGATAAACTTAATCTATCTTCTTCACCCTGTAATTCATAAACATGATTCTAATAATATATGTTACCCTCTGTTAAAACCCTTCCGCTGAGTAGTGAGTACCCCAAAGTTATTCACTTTGTGATTACTCACCCTTTCCCTTATACTTTTTCACCCCCTCCTTACCTTATTCATGATTTATCAACATTGTTTTGTTTAAAATGTACACTGTACAGTGTACATCCATCTATTTATTTACAATTCTTATTCGCTTCTATTGGGCCAACCAATCAAAACAAACAACTCTGGTTAGGTGGGTCCAAACTACATAGTAAATTGTGATTTTTTATTTGTATTATCTCGGGTTTTGTAGTTGAATAAAAATATGAAATGAAATGAATATAGGATGCTTAATAAAAGATGTTTTACAGCTTTTCAAGTGAAATATCATTTTCCAATCTAAATTGTTCCAGGTGAAGCAAATTTAAAAATAAACGATTTAATAACGATACCATGGAAAGATTGAAAAAGAAACATGTTAAATTACAGGTTTAGAGTTTCTTTGTAATTTCGAGTAACCTTTCATTTCAAAAGGGGTCGATTCACAAAGCAACTAAATCTGTTTTTCAAGCTTAAAAAGTGTAATTATGGCAATGTACTTCGTATTGTTTTTGAAGCAGAAAGACGCAAGTCAAAATTCAAAATAATCAATTATTTTGATCAGATAAGACAAAGCTTTTATGGGCACGGTTGTGAATTGGACATGCTTCTTTTCAACATGGGGCCATGTCAGGGTTATAATGCAAGGAAAGGTAATAACAGTTGCATATACTTTGCGTACACATTGAAACCAGTTCTCTCTGGGCAGAATTTCTAAACAAGAATTGATGCATAAGTGTTTCGTGGAGGTTAGAAGCATTACATTTTGATAATTATAATAATTCACATAATAGTTTCATATGATCAGAATATTTCATTGATTTTTTTGTGAAAGATGGATCCCATGTCAGGCTTCAACATTCGTCTTGTGTTTACATTACCGTCCAGAGACAGTACACTGCATTACAAAAGATGCGTACACCTCTGAAATAGATTTCCTTGCATTAAAACCTTGGTTCATATAATTCCATTTAGGGGCATGAATTTACACTTTCTGGGTCATTGTGAAATTTGGCAAGTTTTTCGTGTTCATGTACTACACTTGAGAAATGTGTACTGCACTTCAGCAATGTGTACTGCACTTCAGAAATGTGTACTGTATTTGGGGTGAAAAATAAACATTCCCTTGCAGTTAGGGCTGGGCGGGTTCCTGGTGGAACGATCGTTCTTTCCGGAGAACGAACGGAACGATCAAGAACGATCCCATCTTTCCGAAAAAAAACTAACGCTTAGAACGCGTTCTTAAAAATTTTGGAACCATTAGTAAAAGAACGGAACGGAACGGAACGGGAATTGCTTGAAAAGAACGGTTAAAATCGTTAACGCGTTCTTATTATCAAGAACCCGTTCTAAGTTGGGAACGCATTTTAAATCAGGAAAATGTTTCAAGTTCAGATTTTCTCTGTATGTAGTGAACAGAAATTGAAAGATAGAATTATTGTAAATGACATTAGACACAATATTAATATAGGAAAGTAAGAGGGAAAAAATACGGTTATAAAAGGGTAATAATATAATTTTGCGTAAGTATTGCGTAAGTATGTGTTGCTAGGTAAAAGTAAAAGCAAAAGTAAGGTGATACATTGGTTTAGCCCAATGAGAATTGAATACAAGGAGTGGGCAATAGGGTTTCCGTACACTTTGCTGTGACGTTTTTGGACTGCTGGAGAACATAGTTTTTGCGTAACAACAATAATAAATATTGTAAACAATAACACAAATGATAAACAGACGTTTGGTGCATCTCTGGCGTTAGATGAAGATTCACCGTATACTAACTCATGTTCGTTTACATTAGATCGGCTGCCTTTATTTTTGTTGTTACGCAAAAACTAGTTCTCCAGCAGTCCAAATACGACACAGCAAAGTGTACGGAAACCCTATTGCCCCCTCCTTGTATTCAATTCTCCCTGGTTTAGCCGGCAGGGGGGGGGGGAGAAAAGGAATGGCAAGGATTTAATGCATTACATTCTTGAGGAATGGGAGCTGAATGGGGAAAAAGGAGAAGGGGGGGGAGTTAATTTAGGTTGAAAGAAAGTGTTTTCTATAGTTTATTTCTAATTCTTATTGATATTATTGAAATATTGATTATGAAAATTAAATATTTTTCAAAAATCTACAAATTGTTCACTGCACTTTTTTAAGGTAACCCGGTTTTAGTAATCGTTCTATACTAAGAATGGAACTGGGGGATGGAAACGTTCTTTGATTAAGAACGGAACGAGAGGGATGGAACCGTTCTTTAAATAAGAACGCCATGAACGGAACGGAACGGGAAGACCGTTCTTCTACTCAGAACGGAACGGAACGTAACGCAACGATAAAAAAAGGAACAAGAACGTAACGATTTAGCTGAAGACCCTCGTTCTAGAACGGAACGGAACGATTTCAAAAAAGTTGGAACGTGCCTAGCCCTACTTGCAGTAAACAATCTGCAGTTTGGACTTTTTTCTTCAAATTGACATCATAGTTCCAATTGTTTACAATAAAATCATGGTTAATTTCTGCCCCTAATATCAATCAATCAACATTTGGGATCGTTTTGGATGGAATTATATGGACACCTGTGCACAAATATCTGATAATATCTTACCATTGAAACGTAATCACCTAAATAAACGGTGTCTTAAGACTTTAAGACTTTGTAAAAAATTGACAATTTTTCTATAACCTTAAAATTCAACATGGTATTTAGTTTTTTTTTCTAAAAACGATACAATCAAAACGAACTCACTATTCGTTTTGAACTTTTGAAAAACGAAAAACGAAACGACGAAACGATCGTTTATGAAAAAAAATTCGCCTATAAATATGAGTTTTTTGACATTTAAAGGATTTAAAGGGAGTGTTCGCGAAAAATGAAAGGGGGTATAGGCTTTCGGCGAAAAAATCGTTTATGAACGCTTCTAATCTTACTATCTGTTGGGTCTGTAAGAAGAAAATTGTTAAATACTGCTTATACCGAAGAACGTAGAGAAATTTGCAACAAAAGACTCGGATTGTAAAAAAAAACAATTTGATATCAAACAAATCATTTAGATATTAAAACCTGTAGTCATCAATTATTTTTCGACATATTCACATACAGTTGATATTTCATAATATTGTTATTTGTTTTAAATACAATGCACTTAAAACCACAATTTTTTCCCGCTTATAGGTGTATCTGCCACGTGGAATCATTAAGAGCATTGAGAGCAGAGACACCTAGCGGTCAAACTAATGGCCGTTTTAAAAATATTATGAAAAATCAACTGTATACAACTTCGTCGAACAAAAATCGATGACTATATGTTTTAATATCTAAATGACGTGTTTGATATTAAATTGATTCGATCAGAGTCCAATGCGTTGCAACTTTCTCAATTTGTATGGACTCATAGGTTATTTGGTACAAGTCGTTTTTTAACAATTTTCTCCTTACAGACGCAACAGATAGAAGTAAGATTAGGAGCGATCAAAAGCGATTATTTTTTACCATAAGCCTATATCCCCTTTCATTTTTCGCGAACACTCCCTTTAATTTAATTCATTGATAAAAGTTTATGAATGCGTTTTTTTATATCGAGAGATTAATGACCTGAATTTGTTTTCTGACCTAAGGTTTTTCGACCAAAAATGTATTTTGTCTGAAAAGAGTTGTCATTTTAATTTATATGAGTATTTTAAGTATACGATTTAAAGAATTAAAATGTATGTGTAAGGAAAGTTTACTAAAGTACTTAAAACTAATATCAAAATGGCCATGATTGTAAAAATGACCTACCTAATAATGCCTATTAATTAGTTGAATCATAGCAAATCGTAAACCAAGGTGTTTTTACTAAAGTCAACTTGAATTAGAAGTATGGAGGTAGGACATAAATATGTATTTGGATATAAACTTGTATTTTGTTCCTCGATATATCTCAGACAAATATAATTTAAAAAGACTTAAAGATTAAGAGAACATTTCATTCCAAAAACTTGTTAGCACTGCGAACCAAAATAAAAGTGTTATTATTGTGATTAAAAAATTAAAAACTACTACTTAGACAACATTTTTTTTTTAAATTTCATGTTCTACTTTATTTTCTTGAAAATATGCTGAATTCAGATTCGAAAAATATTTGAAATACTCCCAGCGCTAACTATCTAGACTGCTACTCCCAGAGCTAACTATCTAGACTACTACTCACAGAGCTAACTAGCTAGACCACTACTCACAGAGCAAACTATCTAGACTGCTACTCCCAGTGCTAACTAGCTAGACTGCTACTCCCAGAGCTAACTTGCTAGACTGCTACTCCCAGTGCTAACTCGCTAGACTGCTACTCCCAGAGCTAATTATCTAGACTGCTACTCCCAGTGCTTACTAGCTAGACCACTACTCACAAAACTAACAAGCTATGACTGCTAGTACTCCCAGCGCTAACTAGCTAGAGTGCTACTCCCAGAGCTAATCATAATTACACGGCTACTCCCAGCGCTAACCAGCTAGACGGCTACTCTCAAAGCTAACTAGCTAAGCTGCAACTCCAAATGCTAACTAGCTAGGCTGCTACTTCCAGAGCTAACTAGCTACATTGCTACTCCCAGCGCTAACTAGCTAGACTGCAACTCCAAGTGTTAACTAGATAGGCTGCTACTCCCAGAGCTAACTAGCTACATTGCTACTCCCAGCGCTAACTAGCTAGACTGCAACTCCAAGTGTTAACTAGATAGGCTGCTACTCCCAGAGCTAACTAGCTACATTGCTACTCCCAGCGCTAACTAGCTAGACTGCAACTCCAAGTGTTAAATAGCTAGACTGGTACTTCAAGAGCTTACTAGCTAGACTTCTAGCCCCAGAGCTAACTTGCTAGACTGGTACTCCCAGAACTAACTAGCTAGACTGCTACTCCCAGTGGTAACTATTTATACTGCTACACTCACAGCTAACTAGCTAGACTGCTACTCACAGAGCTAACTATCTAGACTACTAGCCCCAGAGCTACGTAGCTAGGATGCTACTTCCAGAGCTGGCTAGCTTGACTGCTACTCCTAGCGCTAGTTAGCTAGACTACTTTTTCCGGCTCTAACTAGCTAGACTGCTTCTTAGAGCTAATCATAGCTACACAGTTACTCCCAGAGCTAAATAGCTAGACTGCTACTTCCAGAGATGACAAGCTAGACTACTACTCACAGAGCAAATCATGGCTACAGAGGTACTCCCATTGCTAACTAGCCAGACTACTACTTTCAGCACCAGTTATAGCTTGACTGCTACTCCAACAGCTTACTCCCAGAGCTAACTAGCTAGAAAACAGCTCCCAGACCCAACTAGCTAGACTGGTATTCCCAGAGCTCAAGAGTTAACTTGCTAGAATGCTACTCTTAGAGCTCACTAGCTAGACTGATATCCCAGTGCTAACTAGCTAGACTGATATCCCAGAACTAACTAGCTAGACTACTACTCCCAGAGCTAACTAGCCATACTACTACTCACAGAGCTAACAAAGCTTGAGTGCTACTCCCATAGCTAGTTAGCTAGACTGCTACTCTTAACGCTAACTAGCTAGACTTCTAATCCCAGCACTAACTAGCTAGACTGCTACTCCAAGCACTAACTAGCTAGACTGCTACTCCCAGCACCAACTAGCTAGACTGCTACTCCCAGCGCAAACTAGCTAAGCTGCTACTCCCAGCGCTAACTATCTAAGCTGCTACTCCCAGCGCTAACTAGCTAAGATGCTACTCCCAGCGCTAACTAGCTAAGCTGCTACTCCCAGCGCTAACTAGCTAGACTGCTACTCCCAGCGCTAACTAGCTAGACTGCTACTCCCTGAGCTGATGTTTGCCATTGGAAATCCCGACCAAGTATTACTGATATATAAAGTTTCCAATCTAATAAAAAAAGTTTTAACTATTTTTAAAAATCTTGCTTTTAAAAGTCTGTTTAGATACCCTATTAATCTGCAGCTGTGCTGTTCATATATTTGCTAATAGTTCTACAACCTCAGTTTGAAAAGTAGGATTAAAGCAAAAGGTAATCATTCTTAAATCTCAAAAATAATAGTATGTACTTTACTGGCAAAAACTTTAAAATATTTTAGAGTCCAAATGAAAGATTACATTTCCCCCGAAGATATCGCATATTCATTTCTTATATTCAATTATAAAGAAAATCTCGAAAGCTTTTTTTAAGCAAAACCATTTCAAATGTACATGTAAAGAAATATGTGTTGAGTTCCAGCAAAGATTGTTACGCGCAACTATATTATACGCAGAATTCTTTGCAATAGCCATACAAAAATAATGCGAAAATTGAACTGAATTCTAGTATGCGAAAAAAAAATTACTTAATGCGCTAAATAATTTCAACCCAATTTGCTCAACTCAGAAGCAAATTGTGCGAAAATTTGCTTTAGGAATTGAGAAACATAGTAAATGGAAAATCATTGCTTTTTTATCGCTTCCTTGCACTAAATCAACCATTACAAAAATATGGTTAGATCACTAATCTTCATTTCACATTTGAATTTGTTTTATTAATATTATATATATTATTATTATTAAAGATTTATTTACACACAGATTTAATGTACATACATATATTACATATTAAATATATTAATATTATATAATTAGAATAAAAACATTTTTTAAGTCGTTAAAGGGAGTGACCGGCTATGTAAGGTAGTTGAACTGAGTATGCAGTGTTGTGGAAAACTTCTTTCGGATTCATTTGAGACATATTAAACTTTTTAACATACATCTTACATAGCCGGTCACTCCCTTTAACTTTAATTATTACATTATATTTTATGTCATTCCGTGAGCCACAGGTTTAAGATTTTCCTATTTAAAAACATAGATCCAAGCAAAAATAATAATTTCCTACATTAATTCATAGAATAATTAAAAAACAGATATGACACTTGATGTCGTCTTTTCAAGATTTATATGTGTTTCGTTCACAATAACCCTGAGTCAGAAGCCCGAAGGAGTTATACGTAGTCGAGGTAGAACATTCTCTCTTTCTGTCTTTTTCTACGCCGACTATGCGTAACTCCTTTGGGCATATAATCTTGTGTCCTAACTGTTATTTTAATTAATCAATGCATCAATTACTGGGAAAATGGAGCCATTTTATATAAATGATAGAGAATTTAATCCACACAAATCTCTAATATGCATGAAATGTTAAAAATGTATATAATAAGCAATGATTTTAGTAATATAACGACTTTTTGCATTTTCTGTGTTTCAAGCGGAACAACTTTGGTGCAAAATATGTTTTTCGGGGGAAAATTTAGCGCAACACAAGCAAAAGTTTGTAACCTGGCCTGAAAAGGCATTTCTTGAAATTAAAAGCCAAAAATCTATTTAAAAGTGGCCAATGTTCCGTAATCTAAAAGTGGAAAATGTTCCGTAATCTAAAAGTGTAAAATGTTCCGTAATCTAAAAGTGGAAAATGTTCCGTAATCTAAAAGTGGCCAATGTTCTAGTGGCCAATGTTCTATAATCTAAAAGTGGAAAATGTTCCGTAATCTAAAAGTGGCCAATGTTCCGTAATCTAAAAGTGGAAACTGTTCCGTAATCTAAAAGTGGCCAATGTTCCGTAATCTAAAAGTGTAAAATGTTCCGTAATCTAAAAGTGTAAAATGTTCCGTAATCTAAAAGTGGAAATTGTTCCGTAATCTAAAAGTGGAAAATGTTCCGTAATCTAAAAGTGGAAACTGTTCCGTAATCTAAAAGTGGAAATGTTCCGTAATCTAAAATGAAAATTTTAAAAATCAACAAAAAAACAAGTTAAAAGGCGTTCAATATAAATTTATCAACTGATCTGAAAGTTCACGTATTATAAATATATTTAAATATGTTCAGACAGCAGATGAGATCCCAGTTCTGGGTAGTTCTGTTTCTACTGGTTCTTCAAGTTCTTCCTTCTCATCATGTTTCACCAAAATCCAAGATGAAAGTAAAGCATACAAAAATTACCGACCACAGGAAAGCAGAAAAATTCATGAATTATTTAGTAATATTTTTGACGTTAAAACTCGTTTAAAAAAAAATCTCTTTTTGCTGTACTTACAGGCTTTCAGGACACATACTAGCTTTAATTAACAATGTTATGGTGTTAAGCTGTTGAGGTACTCTGCAATTCCTGCAATACACAAAGTGAACATTTTTATAATCTTTTGTTGTGACAACCCACAATCACAAGTTTATGGACCGTCGAATTTAAAAAGTATTGCAAAACAAATTTCGCCATTTGTTATCTTTAAAAATTTGCCTAGTATCATTTATGAAAATATATCATTGTTGAGTTGAAGGGGGGGGGGGGGGTAGTTCGATCTTGATATGTGTTGTAAGAACTACGAGAGTAACCTCCCAGGGACAAAGCAGGGGGTATATTTCCAAATCGGCAGTCCCGGTTAACTGGCAGTTCTCAAGCTTTCAAGAACATTCAAGCATTCACTGAATATCCTTTTTATCCTCTATTTTACCCGAAAGTCGATAATAAATGGTATTAAATTTATTTCGATCCTAAAAAATACATTTAATTAACAAAGGTTTACAGAGTATGAATGTAAAGTTCTATTATTTATAGTTGGGGTTAAAGAGTTATAGTCCGGTTATTGAACAGTACTAAAACAACGTTTTGTCTTCTGAAATAAAATGGCAATTGATTTCAATTGTAAATCACTATTTTTTAAGTGTTATTTTTAAGTTTTTGAAGCGAGGGTACTGCACGTGAAAATTGTTTATACTGTTCATCGGAGGTGATGTTTGGTTTGGTTGCCGGAGAAAATCTTAGTCAGAGACGACTTTACAACGGAGAAAGCTCATTGTTTAGGGTTAACAATTATATATTTGACATTTGACTTGAACTGTTCAAGCTTTACAGGAAGGAAAACCAACTGTATCAGCCGAGCGATAATCTCCAACAGCACAATATGGTGGATAATCTCCAACAGCACAATATGGTGGATAATGGGGGAAAAAATACAATTGAAAAACAGGGAATTAAATAGCTTAAAAAGAACCCATCCTCTCCCCTAACCCCAATTTTCTTTAACCATTCCTATCCATTCAAATGACCTGATTAAGGACAAAATTCTTTTTGATACAATTGATATTTTCAACTATGAATTTAACTACAGGGTGTCCCTCAAAACGTGACAGTTGGTGAACTGTTTTAAATTTCTTCTTCCATTTACTGCATTAGATATTAAAGACTTTTTGCGGTTTATTTTATTAAACAAATCTATTTTACTTTGAAATTAATTTTATTATAACATGGCAGTCCATATGTATTTTTTATTATTCTCTTAGGTATCAAACAACATTACAAATTATGGAAGAAGACATTTAAAACTATTCACCAACTGTCATGTTTTGTGGGACACCCTTTATTAGCTAAAACAGTAAAGATTTGAATTAAGAAAAGTTTACACCATCAGGTTTAACAGATATGAGGATTCAAAAATTGGGCGCTACGACATCTGCGCTATTTCCATTTGCTCTATGGCCATTTGCTCTAGTTCCATTTGATCTATCAAGTCATTTGCTCTATATTCAATCTGCTCTATACCTCATTTGCTCTATGACGAAACGCGTCATTTGCTCTATAACCTAAAAATACACTATAAAATAGCTTTTATTGGAATTCCTGAGTGTAACTTGACTATGAAATGCGGGAATTTTTTTTTGAAAATTCGCAAATTGCAGTTTTAATCAGTTCTTCAAAGTTCATCATGACAGAGAGACTGGTCAATAATAAGAGGAGTAAAAAACCTAATATGTGGTGAAACCTATATTTATTCTTCTCTAAACAAAACTACCTCCAGGAAGTTGGCAGAATAATAAAACTGTAGGAAGAATTGTAAATTGTAAAATTGTAAAAATATAGTTTTAATATGATTAGATGTTTGTAAAATATGTTTATAGAGCAAATGACGTGTTATGTCATAGATCAATTGACGTATAGAGCAGATGACATATAGAGCAAACGTCGTGATCTATGAGTTATAGAGCAAATGGTTAATAGAGCAAATGGAACTAGAGCAAATGGCCATAGAGCAAATGGAATTAGAGCAGATGTCGTAGCGCCTTCAAAAATTGTGGCGAGTAATCATTTCCCTTATTTAAACTACCACTCTCCTTTTTTTCAGAAAGTTATTTGATATATGTACTCTCTAGGCAACCTGTGTTTCTGAGAATTGTTACGAAGATACAAAACAATTATTAAAACTTGCCAAAGATAATATAAAAAACATAAACAAACAAATCTCACGGATATTGTCAAAAAATAAAATAATTGGTAAATTTTATAATTTTTTAGTAAGTATACAGTGAAACCCATATAATACTGCGGATTAGTAGACGACTGTTAGTCTTGAGTCCAGTGAACATAAAACACAGATTGTGCACTGTACAGACTTTAGATTGTTTTGAAACAAATTTCAACCCAACTCTCTATCCCTAGAATTACATCATTTTCTTATCAATATATTTTGCCAAAAACTTTTGCATCATCAGGAGTTCGTCCTAATATAACAGATAAAAGCTAAAAATTCAAATTAAAAAAAAAAACTGTATAGTGTACACTACACACAGACCATTTTCACTAAATAAGTTTATTTTTAATTGGTAAAATCTTTTTTTTTCAACATTTAATATAAACAAAAGGTCTATTTCCGCAGTTTTAATTGTCTCACAATTAATGCAGGGGGATTATTTAAATTGATAAATGTTTAGTGTTCACCTGTTTCAAAAACACATAATACCTTGATAATACTCTCTGTCACCCCCCCCCCCCTCCTGTGTCTAGTGAGGCCGCAAACTTGGTAAATTTTTTCCTAAATTTTAAGGGTTTCCATTTTTAAAAGGTTCGAGAATAATCTCAGGTGTTTAACAAGTATCGAAATTTTGAAATTTTAAAATTTTAAAATTTCACTTAACATTTGGTATTTTACACTATGCCAAAATTATAACAATGTGGGAAAATATATACAAAATACAAACCAAAACCTACAGAATATGAGAGAAAATATATACAAAATACAAACCAAAACCTACAGAATATGATGGAAAATATATACAAAATACAAACCAAAACCTACAGAATATGATGGAAAATATATACAAAATACAAACCAAAAACTACAGAATATGATGGAAAATATATACAAAATACAAACCAAAACCTACAGAATATGATGGAAAATATATACAAAATACAAACCAAAAACTACAGAATACAGTTTAGAAATGTTGGAAACTTCGCAAGTTCACATGTACTTATGTGGGGTGGAGTCACATTTTTTTAATGGAAATAAAGCGATGAAAACAGTCATTGATAATTTTGACCATTCAAACATTTCCGACAATTTATTTAAAAATGAAATCATGAATATGACATGTGTTTGTAATGAAAGTTCATTACCAAATCTTGAAATTATGCAAGAAAAACCCAACCTATACTCATTTAATATAATTTTGTTTAGATAAAATATATATTTTCAGATAATCGGCAAGGTCAAAGTGGAATATTCTTGAATGCCTCTGATCTGCTGCTAAAGTCCCTGGGAGGGATTAAACAGCTGGAGAACACTGCAGGCCCAGTCTGTGCTGGACGGACCAATACATCATTAGGATCAAAAGTAATTCAATCTTAGTTTCTTTCATTTTTTTTTCGTGTGAATTGAACATGCCAATCCATAGATGGGGAGGGAATCAACATTATGTCTTCATTCCCTTTATGACATAAAACTTAAAATTTTTTTATGTTCAAGAATGTAAATTTTACTGAATAAGTAAAACTACTAAAATCCATGCTTCAGGGTTTAGAAACCTGGAGGAATCTGACTAAATGTAAAGCAGGGATAGAGGAAACCTGTATTTCAAATGTTACCCAAGAAACCTTGGCAGAGCTTATCAACTGTAATACAACATTGAATAAATTTGTGTAAGTAGATGTATGTTTGTGCACATAATTTATATTTTCACTTGCTCCATAAGACTGATAACATACTTTTAAGGAAGAAGTTTTTATTCTATTAAATTTTTTGAAATTAAATTACATAATGAAATAAAGGAAATAATCGATCCTACCAATATTTTTCTAAATATAAAATTAGTAAGTCTTACGTAAAAATAGCGAAATGTAAAAAATGTTTATAGGTAGCAAATGAACCCTGATTTTATAATATTGTACTCTGAGTTCAACTACCATACCTAGCTTTAAATTAAAACTTGTATAACTAAAATATTTAAGGTTATATATTTAGGACTGATTTGATTAATTGTAATGGAGCCTGTGATTGTTTTAAGTCTTTAATCACAACTGCTGATATTGTTGGAGCATGCAGCAAGAGTAAGTTTGCTAGTTTTAATATATATAGTATGGCTTGATCTTTCATATAGTTAAACCCACAAAAAGAACTTTCATTTTGTTTAACCCCTCAGAACTTTCATATAGTTAAACCCGTCAATACTTTCATATTGTTAAACCTCTCAAAACTTTCATATTGTTAAACCCCTCAAAACTTTTATATTGTAAAACCCGTTAATACTTTCATATTTTTAAACCCCTCAAAACTTTCATATTGTTAAATCCGTCAATACTTTCATATTGTTAAACCCGTCAATACTTTCATGTAGTTAAACCCGTCAATACTTGCATATTGTTAAACCCGTCAATACTTTCATATTGTTAAACTAGTCAGAACTTTCATATTGTTAAACCCCTCAGAACTTTTATATTGTAAAACCCGTCAATACTTTCATATAGTTAAACCCCTCAGAACTTTCATATTGTTAAACCCGTCAATACTTTCATATTGTTAAACCCCTCAAAACTTTCATATTGCTAAACCCCTTAAAACTTTCATGTTGTTAAACCTGTCAATACTTTCAAATTGTTAAACCCGTCAATACTTTCATATTGTTAAACCCGTCAATACTTTCATATTGTTAAACCCCTCAAAATTTTCATATTGTTAAATCACTCAAAACTTTAATATTATTATTATTAAAGATTTATTCACACACATTTAATATACATACATATATTACACATTACAAACAGGGTGTCCCACATCAAATTAGACGGCGTCAATGAGCCATATTACGATTTGGGGAACAAATCAGAAAATTTGTTTGCAGAAAATGCTAGATTTTTGGAGTATTATTAGCGTATTTTAGCGTTAAAGATTGGAGATAGTCTAATATGATATGGGACGCTCTGTATATTAATGGTAAAGTTTAAAGGAATTGAGTCTTTGGAACAAAATCAAATATTTAAACCTCAATATCTTTAGAACTCGATGTTGTAAACCTTTGATATTTCAAACTCAGATTATTTGATCTAACAGAATTCATAGTTTGAAATATCAAAGGTCTGCAACATTTGGTTCCAAAAATATAGGGATTAGAAAATCAGAGTTTGTGGCAAAGACTCAATTCCTTTGTTTTGTTATGAATGATATTAGATGTATTCATTATTCACTCTCATAATCTCCAATTTCAATAAACCTGTTATTTTAAAGAAAATTATAGTCAGACTTTTGACAATATTTTTCTTTCAGGAATAAATTCCTTGCACTTAAAAAGTTGATTCAGAAAAAGTATCAAATTTTGGTAACAATAAAAATGTAAGCAATATTTAGAACAAGTCAGCTCGTAATTAAAACACATTCTAACTGCATACAAACTTTTTCAGCATATTCTTGATGTTTCTAATAGACTTGACATCCAGACTAATCAAAGGGTGTAAAACCATTATCGATGTTGCAGGTAGACTTGACATCCACATTTCGCACTCATCAAAGGGTCTAATCCAATTTTTGTTTCTAGTAGACTTTTAACATCCACAATAATCAAAGGGTGTACAATGTACGTACACCCATTCTTGATGTTTCTAGTAGACTTGACATCCACAATAATCAAAGGGTGTAAACCCATTCCCGATATTTCTAGTAGACTTGACATCCACAATAATCAAAGGGTTTTTCTAGTAGACTTGACATCCAAAATAATCAAAGGGTGTAAACCGATTCTTGATATTTCTAGTACACTTGACATCCACAATATAATCAAAGGGAGTAAACCCATTCTTGATATTTCTAGTAGACTTGACAACCACAATATAATCAAAGGGTGTAAACCCATTCTTGATATTTCTAGTAGACTTGACAGACTTGACATCCACAATATTCAAAGGGAGTAAACCCATTCTCGATGTTTCTAGTGGATTTGACATCCACAATAATCAAACGGGAACCTGAAAGGTTTCCTCTCGAACATACAAGTTCTATAAGGGATTCGGCCCTAGTCCTCTTATAATTAGCAAACATTTTGCATGCTTTCCTCCAGAGAGAGGTGTTGACTCCTCAACTGCTCTCAACTAACCACACCTAAACTTTAACATTGTGAACTCCTTTAATATGTCTTTGAGGGAGCACAAATATATGACAAAATCAAAAGTTAAATTTCATCGTAAATTTGAAAAAATTTAAACTTTTAATTTTCTGCAGGAAAACTGCAAAAATTTAAAAAGAAAGAATACCATACTGACATATTTAATGATCATTGATCATAGTAAAACTGATCTTATATAAAATCACTAATATTTGCGGACTTTCAGAACCCTTCGCCTCAATCTTAAAGAAAGATTTGCTGATTCCCATCCCTTCATCAAAAAATATACCTGAAATATTTTGTATTATTCCAGTCCAGGTTTAGGTTAGGTTAAGACAATTTCTGGGCCGCGCTCACTCAACAACTAGGATAGGATGGGGAAAAGTGCCAGGGCGCTGCGTTCCCAAGTAATACTTTGACCATGTATATTTTTTCTAAATGGGGGTGAGGGTATAAAAATCCTCCTTTAGGAGATCACCAACTTCTCTACAGTATTATTTTGAGCCCGTTTACAATTATTCTGTTGTTGTTTAGGTAAAGATGTTGAGACTTCTCTGACTGAGAACTTGAACAAATGCAAATCTGTGTTCAGAGATTGCAAAAATTTGGGACGCAGTACACAGTACATAATTACAACATGTAGTACAGCAACTGGCCAGCTAGAGAAAACATTGACAAATCTTTTTTTCTCAATCAATTTGATCAATACAACTGTGGATGCCATAGAGTTCATTATCAACAACTCTTTTACTAATCAGTCAAGGACAGTCAGACAACTAGAGTCTAGATCACTTGATGCTTTCAACAAGATGAATGTGTTCTCAGCTAGATGTAAATCAAAAGGTATATATAAGTTTAAGTAGTACAAGAGAATATTTTTTTAAATCAAAGTAATTTTCAATGATCCTTTCATTAAATTGTATCATTTTAATCTTTATCTGTGAGAACAATGACAAAGAAGATCTGCCCATTATTCAAACAAATTTTGCTGTGCAATATAAATCTTGATTTAATCAGTTTTCTCAAATGATTGAATTAAATATCATGTACAGATAGCTAGATTTAGGGTTGAGTCGTTATTCTCTTTAATGGATGACATTTTAAAAGATGAATCAAAATCCTCTTTGGAATGCGAACCTACAAATGCCTGTTGAATTTATCACATGTATGACAACCTTTATGATAATTCTTACAGTATTGTGTTTTTTTAATAGCAAAAAAAGTATTTCAAGAGTTAAAGAACATAACGATTTCAAGCAGTGGCTTGATAAAGTCACTTTAGAATTAAACCAAGCTATTTTCCACTTAAAACTAATAAACTTTTATTATATTCTCAAGGAGAGTCTAATGTGGATACTATATCAGAAGATCAAGAAATATATGCATTATCCATTAGTATAGTTCAGTATACTAAGGTACGCCTTGTATTCACTACAATCCAGATCAACCAAATCCGTGGTTTTATCATCATTATCCGGGTTGTGGTAGTAATCATAATACGGAGGATAATAGAGATTAATAACATGTTTGAGGTGAAAACGGGAACAACTAAATCTCCGGCGACCTTTGTATTTGATAAACCACTTCCATCACTAGACCCTCAACTGACCTTACCTATCAACACTTTCCCAGCAAATTCTTCTTCCCGGCCAGATGTCACAGGTAAATGCAATCTTCCATTATTCTGTACAGATGCAAGTGTGAGATCAGAGGGTAACATTATTGCATATATAGTATTAGGTGGGGAAGGCAAGCCGCACTCATATAGCCTCCATCCCTTAATTTACTCACAAAAATAGACTTGCCGCAACATGCTCACCCATAAGACTCCTTAGCCGCACCTATATATCTCCCGTCAAAATGTCTTGCGATTTTCACCTAAAATATAGTATTTTGTACATGTCGGCTGATGTTCGTCTTCTCTAAACTGTTTTTGAAGGAAGAGAGAAATTAAATTTTTACCAGAAATATCACAATTTGCATTGCAATTCGTTTAAAAATTTTCTAATTCAATCTTTCTATCTTAATTTAGATTTAGAAACTGAATTGCACTCAAAACTTCGTTATTATTTGTAAAGATTGAATTTCTCCTTACCTTCAAAATTTTTTTTAGAGAAGATGAACATCAAGTGACATGTACAAAATATTACATTTTAGGAGGAAATCGCAATAAATTACAGTTTATAACAATAATTTAACAACTATTGCCCCAGTGAGCGAGAATAATTACTTATAATTACAAAAAAAGATATGATCAACATGTTCATGATATAATAGATGCCATGAAGTCCTTAAGATCTTAAATTAACGCTGCATTCCTCTTTAATAAGCATTCAAAAGTAAAGACAGGTGAGCGCATTGCAGCAAGCCTATGTTTGTGAGTAAATTGCAGGATGGAGGCTATACTAGTGCGGCTTGCCTTCCCCCCTAATGGGATACAACCTAGCTGGTAACCCCTGCACAAACTGAAAGGGTATAATCTAACCCTGTCACCTCTGAAAGAAATATAGAGGTATTTAAGGTCTAAGGCTGAACTGACTGGCTGTGAAGGGGAAAAAAATTGATTTAATAGAAAGTCATTTATTTATTAAGCTCAGCTCGACTGTACTAATGCTTGGCAGAAAAAATTTAGCTTTTCAAGAAAATACTCAAAACAATTAAATACAGTTTTAATTCATGTAGATGCTGCCACAGATTCCATTGCTGCTACAGTTTCCAATACAAAGTCTTCCTCTGTTACCAAGTCTACTACTGCTACAAATTTCAATGCTGCTACAAATTCCAAAGCTGGTACAGAGCCCAATGTTGCTACCAGTTCTATTGCTGCTTCCAATTCCAATACAAAGTCTTCCTCTGTTACCAAGTCTACTACTGCTACAAATTTCAATGCTGCTACAAATTCCAAAGCTGGTACAGAGCCCAATATTGCTACCAGTGCTATTGCTGCTTCCAATTCCAATGCTCCTACAGATTCCAATACAAAGTCTTCCTCTGTTACCAAGTCTACTACTGCTACAAATTTCAATGCTGCTACAAATTCCAAAGCTGGTACAGAGCCCAAT